GCAGCTGGCTATGCTCTGGCTCACCTCAGAGACCGTGAAAATACTGCTATTCCCGGACTAGGACATCAGGATGTAAATACTTTGCTTTGCCCATGGCTCAGGGGAAGCCATTCTGAAAAACTATCAATTAACTTTACCTGCAAAGGGACTTGCTTCAAAAGCCCTCATTGAGAAAAATTAGAGAAGATTTTCCATTTCATAGTCTGAATAAAGTGCTCATAAACTCATCTCTAGTATGTCTCTTGTGGAAAAGGAAGATTGCTGTCAAAAGGCTTGAATCATATATTTTGAGCTCAGTAACTTCAGGGAGGCAGCAACCAAGGACATTGGCAAAGCAATCAAACCATTAGCAGCTGACCCTGGCTGGGGGGTTCCTATACCATATTTGTGTTGGAACCCTCCTCCTACCCCCTGCCCCACTTCCAAACACAGAGAAGTGCCCCCAGCACATTAGATGAACTGGAATTAGAGGCTGAGGGATGGAATGCAGGATATTGAGGTGTGTGGGGGGGTGCTCAAGAATAGGCACAGGCCATGCAGAACAGAGAAGAGCATCACGAACCCCTAGCCAGGCACTGAGCAGTAGTGGGTACCCTCCAGCCCATCTCTTGCACTTGCTGTGTCAGGCACAAAGGTAAGCTTTTTGCCCAAAGCAGGAACCACTGGCCACAGTTGGGGGACTCAACAGCCCTATGTACTAGTGACTACTGTTTTGTATGGTCCAGGTACAGGTGTTTCCTGCACAAAGAAAGTTCTTGTGGATAGCGCTGCTCTAGGGCCATTGCTGAGAAGTGACTGCAGCTGATGTTGCCAGAAAACAAGGGGCAAGGGTGGGGCAAGAAAGTCAAAGGTGCCCAAGTTGGCCCAAGGCAATGGAGTTGGACCCAAGYTGGGCTTGCTGCTTCTGCATGACCAACACAGAGAGAGCTCTCATAGAAATATGCAATGCAGATGTGCCTGCTGCCACCTGGCTGGGGGAGGGATAGTGCTGGGTCATGCCTTAGCAGGAGGTATACACACCCTGGAGAAAGGGGCCCTGTGCCCAACCC